CCCCCCAACAGCTTACTGCAAAGTGGAACAAACCAGTTTTGTTTGTGATAAGATGGTCTCTTTGGTACTCCCCTCCTCCATTGCCGGCCCTCTTCCTTGTTGACAGTTGTGTCTAATAAACCTTCCGGATCGAAGGCGAAACCTTTCAGCACAAAAAAAAACTGTCCAGATGACCTGACTGAAAAATGTTGTACTGCTGATGTTCTACCAGCTTGTGTGTGGGGAGGCAGCAATAAGAGGAGAGATGCAGGGTGACTTGACAGACTGGTGAGAAAAGCTGGTTCTGGGTTGGGAACAGAGCTGGAGTCCCAAGAGAAAAGGGCCCTCAGTAAGTTACTGTCCATCATGGACAATGCTGACCATCTGCATGGTGCGATCATGAAGTGCTCCTTCAGTGGTAGACTACTGTCCCAGCCCAGCTCCACAGACAGATTCAGGAAGTCCTTTGTCCCTCAACTCCTCCCTGTACAGTAATGAGACTTGTAAATCTGCTGCACCCCACAGACCCCAGACACTTATGTATGTATATATATACATACAGTATATTTATATACATATGTATATGTACAGTAGTCCCTCGTTTACTGTGGGGGATCCGTACCCTGAAGCCCCACGATAAGTGAAAATTCACGAAGCAGGAATAGTAATACAAGTAGTTAAGTAGTAGTTTATTTATATGTTTATTAGGGCGTTTTAAACCCTTCCCACATTCTTGCAACATTTTAAATGTTTCTAAACTCTAAAAGCTCTAAAAGAGCACAGAATGTCATGATTTCAGCTCCCTGCTCTCAGCCACTTGCAATCGCTCTTAGCCACGCCCACTTCTCCATTCTGCAGAACAGCTGATCAGCTGCAGCAGGAAGTTTATCCTGCGATAAGGGTTGCATAAAGGTGCAGGACACTTTTTCTTTAGCTATGGGCTGCACAAAGTTGCTAAATAATTTAAAATGATTTATTTAAAAAAAAAACTGTAGTATGCTTTTTTTATAACTGTTTATTGTTGTTGCTGTTGTCCATTGTTGTCATCTTTCTTTGTTAAATCAGGTCTCTTGTAAATGAGTCCTCGAGGCTCAATGGGATTTACCTATATAAATAAAGGTTGATTGATTTTAAATAAAAATGTCATGCCGATAGTGCGGCTCATCCATCAATCAGCTAATTGTGAGTCACGTCCAATCTTATTTTGAAAAACCACGATAAGAGCGAGTATGCGATAAACGACCCACAAAGTAGCGAGGGACTACTGTATATGTATGCTTAGATGTGTATGTATACATATAGATGTTAATCATGAATGTAGTACCCTACCACCTTGTGCATGTGCCTATTGTCTTTTTCAAATGCTACAGGAGGTCTCGAATTTTCCCTTGGGATTAATAAAGTATCTATCTGACAAATATGACAAAACACTTCAACACTTTATACTAAAGTAAATGTCAAAAACTTTTTTTTTAAAGATTTCATATAAAAAATAATTTAATAAAGAAATCATGTTTATTTCTACAACTTAAAAGTGTGCAGACACTATCTATGCTGCTGTTCTAGTGTCCAATAATGCACGTGCAGAAAATCAGAACACTAACAATTGTAAAGTTATACAGAAAAGAAATACAGGAAAAATAACAGCTAAAATTTTATTTAAACAAAAAGCAGATGCATTTGCATTTATTCTTATTTTTTAATAAATTGTTTGTGTAGTTAACATGTCTGAACACCCAGGGGGGAGAAATAAATGCCCTTTATGTGAAGTGGCACAAACGTACATTTAACAAAGCCCAAAATCGGAGGAAGTTACAAAATTACACTTTACAATCTCTGTGAGTTTTCATGTGCTTGTTTAAAAAAGATTTTAAAACAAAACTTTTCCCACAGATCAGGCATAAAAAAGGCTTCTCGCCTGTGTGAATTTTCATGTGAGTGTTCAAAGTATCTTTGCGAACAAAACTTTTTCTACATGTCTGACATGAGAAAGGTCTCTCACCTGTGTGGGTTAACACATGAATATTCAATTTATAATTAGAAATATAACTTTTTCCACACGTTTTACACGAGAAAGGCTTTACACCTGTGTGAGTTTTCATGTGAGCATTCAAATTGCTTTTACGAATGAAACTTTTTCCACACGTCTGACATGAAAAAGGCTTCTCACCTGTGTGGGTTAATGCGTGAACACTCAACTTATATTTACAAAAATAACTTTTTCCACACGTTTCACACGAGAAAGGCTTTTCACCTGTGTGAGTTTTCATG